ATTATATTTTGATATTTTTCATTTAATTAGATATAAAATTTTGTATTAATTATTATGTTTACTAATTAATCATTTAAAATTATAGGTACAACAGCACTCATTTAAAGAAAATGAAAATATTTTTGAACAAAATGTACCTCTCTTTAAAACTTTGAAAAATCATTCGCCAAAACTGAATCATTCATGTGATAGAATGAATGAAATTGAAAGGTTGGCGAACTTATTTACCAAATCCCCTAGTATTTTTACAAAGGATAATAGTAACAATTGTATTGATGTCAAACATGGCCAAGTGTTATTGAAAGAAAAAACACCTATAAAAACACACAATGTAAGTCCTTATTGTTATCATTAATATTGAAATATAGTGTAATAAATGATTTTTAGGTCTTGCAAAAATAAGGGACCTATTTTATATTAATTTGGTAATGTAAACACATTTAACTGTAAGATGTTGTATTGGATACATTATAAATTTTTAAAATAAATGTTATTATTTATTGATTTCAGGAAGTTAATAATTATAAATTTAAGCTAATAAATAGCGAAAATACCAACAATCTAATTTATCCAAATATCAAGGTAATTATAATTGTAATCATTATTATTTATTATTATATAAATAAATTACATATTGCATAAACTAATTATAATTTTATGTTTAAAAATATTTTAATTACGCGCACAATTTTTTAAGGTGAAAAGAAATGTACGATTTGGAGAATATTCACCGCTTAATCCAGCCAATCAAGTGGATTCACAACCTTTCTTAGGAATTGGAGAATATGATAACAAGAAAAAAAAACTGTTAGAGTTACAAAGGAAAGAGTATATGGAATATTTATCAAAGGTAAAAAAAATGTTTAACTCAATAATGACTTGTGCATGTAATAATCAATTTTTGATTAAATTCTTTTAGGCAAAACAAGATAAGAATACTTCAGATTTACCTAAATTAGCCGGTTATTCATGTGAAGAAGCATTTAAAACTGCCATGGTATGCATATTTTTTTGTAATGTACAAGAAAATTTTAGATATTGTAAAAATATTAAATATATTATTTATTATTTTTGATTTTTATTCTAATGAAATTAATATTTTAATAATATTAAGTTTAAGTAAATTCTAATGTAATTTATCATGTATTATAATTTATACCATTTATAAAACAATTGTATTTGTAAAATTATATGTTTAGCTAAAAAACTTACTCAGTAACCAATTTATGTGCAGAATTGAACCTTCACTACACTGGCAGGTATTGTGCATACAGGTGGTAAACTTGACGAGTGACAGATCTGATTACCTGACCACTTACCAAAACATTTTCCCTTTTAAATATGATTTGTAACAACTAATAACTTAAATAGAATTTAAAAATAAATAAATATTGTAAAAGTGTTACAATATCAAAATATTTTTTTAATAACTAAAAAAATTATAAGATAAATAAAAAATGAGCTATTAAATTTAAAAATTAATTTTTTTACTATTTCATTAAAAAATTAATTTACATTTTTAGTTATTATAAATATATTTTTTATTTTTAGGAAAATAAAAATAGTTCTGAAGAATTAGTTAGCAAAGATGGTGAGTTAAATTTAATAATTTAACTTTTAATAATACTTGTTAATTCTAAAAATTATTTTTCCTATTTAGTTATAAATCAGAAAGCCATGATGAAACAAACTCCATTGAATGATGGAGCAGTTGAATCATGTACATGTAAGTTAAATTGTATATTTATTTTGTTTATTTTCATGATTTTATTAAATATTATTTGTAGCTGATGAAGAAAGGATTAAAGAAACTAATAGATTAAAACAAGAACTTTATAGATTTGAATTAAGCAAACAGATAGAAGAGAAAAGAAGGTTGGAACTTGAACAAAAACGTAAAGATCAATTGGAAGATGAAGCCATTGAAAGAATGGCAAGAGAACAAGAAGAAAGAATGAGGATAGAATTTGAAAAAGAAAATGAGAAACGAATTTTAAATCAACTCCAGGTATGGAATATACATCATATGTATATATGCTTAGTTTTTAGTTGTTATTCTTGTAACTTGTTTTACTTTTTTAAATAAGAACTTAACACTTAAAGTATTCTGCAAAGAATTTTAGTTTGATCTTTAAAATGCATTAAAAAAAAAAAAAAATGTGTTATTAGTATGCAGTATTAATTTATAAAATTTTAATTATAACAATGCATGTTAGAAACAACTTCAACAAGAAAAGTTAAAAAATGAAATAATGCAAAAACAAAAAGACTTGGAATCAAAGTCATGGAAGATAGCATCTGAAACTGTTTCCCGACAATTATCAAACCATGCACCAAGTACCCACGAATCATTTGATGATGATGATACAGAAGAGTTTTACCATCCTCCTCAGAGTTCTTTTGACAACGTACCTTTACCAACTACACGTGTTCGACCTCCAAGAAAAGTATTTCAATCTTTTGTTATCCATAATTTAGATTAAAATGATTAAATAATTTTAATTTTAGATAGTGTACGATGAAGATGATGAATCTGTAAACAGAAAAACTTTAAGGGACGTTTCATGCAACACAGATGCATTTAAAAATCCATGTATTAACCAGAATATTTCTCCTCCAGTAATGAGTCAAAAAATGGAAAGAGCTCATGTCACATTTGCAAGTGATCCTCCTTTAAATAGAACAGAGTTTAATCCTGCAGCTTTACTACCAGTAACAAAATCTGTGATTATTGATTCGCCACTTACACTTGCATTGGCTGGATTAAATGATAGTAAAAATAATAGTAACTGTGATACTATTGAACCTACTGAAGCAGCATATAGAAATCAGGTATAAAAAAAATCAGTGCTATTACAATTTTTTGATGATTTAATTACAAATTTTAAAGTTAATTTATTAGTTATTTAATATTAAATAATGATTATTATTTAAACTTAGTTTAAAATAGTTTATTTACAATCTAATTATAGGAATAACCTCAAGTATATAATTAAATTATAATTTGATTTTATATTTTTAGATTTTTATCAATAATTCTTACAAATTGTAATGACAACAATTTGTTTTGCACACAATTTATGCTTGTTTGATGATTATTACATATTTTTGGGCATTTCAACAAAATTTAATATTTATTACATAATGAAATAAAATTATAAAATAAACAATATTATAGTGTACATTTCATTGTTTACCATTACCTATTAAAAAAAAAAAATTAGCTTATTTGTTTTATACATATTTTCAAGATTTTTACTCCATAGTAATGTGTAGTATTATGTAATACTTTTAAGTACATACAATTTGTGCTTTATTTAAGAGTTATGAATTAATTTACCTTTTTAACAAGTAAAATTATATGTACAGGTCAATTCTCAATGGTATTATCACCGTAAATACTAAATAATGTAAGTCATTAAACTTAAAGATTCAAGTAGAAATTATCCAACATTTTGAAAATTAAAGTTTTGATTTTTCATCAAATTTTAACCTTAGTACCTAAGTAATTTTGTTTATCATCATAGCTTTTCATAATATTAGTTCTCTGGTTCAAATATTTTCAAGTTAAACTACTTAGTAAATTCTAAATATTTCAAACTTAAAGGAAAGCAGATATTTAAATTGGAATAAATTAAATTTAAGTATAAGCTAGTTACAGTGCTTGAAACAGGAAATTATATGAACTACAACACTCATAAATTATGCAATTTGCAGATAGGTATGCCTATAATTTAGAACTTTTTTTTTTCTTTGACATTGTAGTTTTTTATAAATTATATTATATATATATAGGCAGTTAATTAATGGAGTTTTTATAATAGATTATTGAAAGTGACTAGTCATGGGGTTAAAACGTGTTGCATAAAATATACTCATATTTTCAAAAAATTTATTTTCTATAAAAATACATTTTTAATCACCATGATTTTAATACTGTCAGAAACATTTTATCGACTGTTATGTATGAACAATCAATTAGCAATTTCCATTATTTTTTTTTTTTTAATGTTTACTTAATATTTTTCAGATCTAGAATTAATGCAAAAGCTAATATTATAAACAGAAGTGTAGTTCCAACCCATTTAAAATACTAGTTAAAAATTAAGTCAATTAAATAATTATGACAATTTTTAAACAAGTTACTGTACATAAAAGATATTTAGATTGTAACAATCAATTATTTAATTGAAAATTGCAATAACTAAGTGTTGATAGTGATTATTTTTTAAGCTTATACATACTTAGTAGTTGTAGATTTGTTGTATGTTCAGGGCCATATCACTTTAATTTGTAATGCTTATAAAACTGCAATAAAGTATTTAATACATATTCTACTCTGTCCCAATCATTTTACCTATTAAAATAGTTATTAAATTATAATATGATAATATTAATTTGTTATTTATTTGTAATATTATGAGTCAGCGTTAGCAAATTCATCCCAGTAATAAGTTAATCTATAAATAGCTTTTATTTAAATACAAAAAAAGCAGATAACTTAATGAAATATATATTTTTTTATAGATACATATTACATTATAAGTGTGTATTTTAGTTATCATAAAATGTATTTTAATCATATCACCTACATTATTTAGTTTTATAAAACCTTAATATTTGTCAATTAAATGTTATATTGTTATATTTTAGGTATCAAGAGATGAAAAATTAGGAAATAATCACGAGCTGCCGACTGATAAACACTTATTATCAAACTTAGGGAATATAAGGAAACAACTAGATATAGAACATCAAAAATTAAGACAACAAGTTCGAAGATCTCAATAAATTGATTAGTTTATGATCATATTGTATAGTTTAAAACAAAAAAGTTTGATAAGCTTTAATTCACAAAATATAATATATTAACATAAAATTACATGATACATACTTATTCTATTCATTTATTTTTTTAAATTACATAATTTGAATACTTAATAAATATAATTAAAATTTTAATAGTTTGGACATAAACCTGGTCACAAAATATTTTATAAATAAAAAAAAAAAAAAAAAAATTAAAAAAAAAATACAAACATTAAGAAACAATATTATAACATATTACTTACTTTAGTTACATTTGAATAGTCTGGGCAGTGTTTTAGTTTCTATTTAACTTTATTACTAATTATCTACAACAAGTTGGATAGAAACTATTATAATTCATTTTAGATAGAAGTTTTAAATTGGTAAGTAGCTTATACACGGTGTCCCACGGAGTTCTGACAAATAAAATAACTTGAAATCTAATCAATATTTTTTTCATTTTTTTTTTTTTCTATAATTAATAGACGCTTGTACTACACGTATGATATACATTTATAATAAATTTTAAATTTGATTCAAATTTTTTTGAAAAAATTGAAAATAGCCTATTAGAAACATATTGAAAAAATTATGTTTAATGTTTACAGTATTTTATTTGAGTTATCTGTTTGCGACTTATTAACATTTAAATATTCGTTCAATATTCTGCTACTGGGCAATTTATAAAATCCAACAATAAAAACTAGAAGTCAAAATAAAATTATATCTCAATTTAAGGATATCGATAATAACTAATATGCAAAAAGTAAAATGGTGAATGGTTATAGGAATTGGACATTGGACCTATATAATCTGACAATCTGTGTATTATTATTCATTTTGACTTCTGGTTTTTATTGTTGGGTATTATAAATTGCCCAGTAGCAGTAAATTGAACGAATATTTAAATGTTAATAAGTAGCAAACGGATAACTCAAATAAAATACTGTAAACGTTAAATATATTTTTTTCAATATGTTTCTAAATAGGCTATTTTCAATTTTTTCAAAAAAATTTGAATCAAATTTAAAATTTATTATTTTTTCTACTATAAAATAAAAATGAAAAAAAATTTATATCATACGTGTAATACAAGTGTCTATTAATTATATAAAAAAAAAAAAAAAAATGAAAAAATATTGATTAGATTTCAAGTTATTTCATTTGTCAGAACTCCGTGAGACACCTGTATAATAAACATAGCAGAAAATAATAAAAAGGAAAAATCAATCTATCAGTCTCAAATTGTATAATTTGCTCCATGGTAAGTATCATGTATACAAGTATACAATTGGAACATTATAAAATATTCACCTGGTAGTCTAATTACTAATTTATATATCATGTTATTTTCACCATCGTCAATTGTCATCATCATCTGAAGTTAAATCAATACCTGTAAAAAATGAAAAAAAATAAATAAATGTTTTTCATCAATAATATTCCAACATCCTTTTATATAATAATATACATTTATTAATATATTCTGCAAAATATAACTTTATACTTTAGTATTTTATTAACAAACGGAAAAAAAAATAAAAAAATATTGAAATTGTTCCATAAAGACTAACTTCAGGTGACAGGTTTCTGTTTATGGCTACGAGTATGGTAAAATTGTACCAAATATCACTTAATTAGTTTAATAATCAGGGTTAGATTTTGTTAATACTAATAAGGTAAAGCAATTTTCAGGCTGCGTTTTGACGGAATATGATAAAAATCAATTTTCACCTGATTTTACTTTTAAATGACACCAGAGTATAGTATTGTAAAATTAAATTAATTCTAAATATTGTTTTAATATTTTATCACTTACTTCCTTGAAAGATATATGTCAAAGATTTTGACTCGTTTGCAGAAAGGGCGAATCTACGGTCAAGGTTTCTAGTAGAATCTGTACTTATTGATGAATAACCAGATATTACTGGCAACCGAATTTGAGGTGTTTGAATTACTTGTATATGTGGTATTTTTGGTGGATCAATATAAGTCACACACTATAAAAGTCATACATTTATTTTGATGGTTAACAGAATAATTAAATAAGAAAAACATGATTTATAATAAACAAATAACAATTGTTTGTTTTTTAAAACAATTAATATATTATAGTCAAGAACTTGGTGTAATCAGCAGTAGCCGTTAATAACTGCTAATGGCACAGACTACACTTTATTAACAATTATTATTTAATATGTAAAGATTACTCAAATGTTCAATATAAATTAGTTTTCACAAGTAATATAGTAAAATCAAATGTGATTATTTCAATTACAGTTGAAAATATTTAAAAGTTTTATTACCTGTATACTGCTATCATTACTATCATCTGAAATAACTATCGGATCATCCACAGATAATGGTCGAGCTGCATTACGCATTAATTCAATATTTCGTCGTTGTACTTCTCTGTTGTGAGATAGTCTTTCTTCAATCATAACTGAAATACCACTACCATTCCCATCATCTGGTAGTTCTAAAAGTTTTTTCTTGGCTCTTGCTGTATTATCTAAAATTCATAATTCAATATTTAAAAATGATTCAAATAACACTAGGTAAAATAACAATTATCAGCAAATAGTTTTTAATGCATTAGTTATATAATTAGATATTTTTATTTTATAGCTTAATGATTCAATTTTTTTTCTAGATATCTAAAAGTTAAATAAATAGTATTAGATATTAATTAATAATTTTAATATCCTTAACAAACTTGTTTTGAAGACAACACTAATGAAAAAACTTTATGAAATGTAATGTTACAGATTTCTGTAATTCTGCACACATAAAAACTAAAATATAACAAATTAATGAAAATAATAAGATATATTATGAACATAAACTAACAGATAGTATAAATTGTAGTTATTCATAATTTAAATATAGTTGATTAATTCCAAAAATAGCATGAGAATTAACCTGTTTAATAACCAAAAAAAGGTATAACAAAGTGCAAGGTAAGAAATCACATAAAAACAAGAAGCTATATATTAAGAATTCTTTTTAAACATAAATTTTCATGTTATGTAAGCGCTTTCATTAACCCATCAGAATTCTGTAAAAAATAAATAGCAATTTAAACTTCAAGTAATTCTATAACATTCTCAATTATTACTGGCACACAACAGTATTAATTATTAATGTCATACATAATAGTATTAGTATACCAAGTTTGGTAAAAATTTTTATACTTTTTTTTATAACTACTTTGTACACAAGTACTATTATTTTTTTAAATCAATAGATATATTTTAATTTGTTTAAATATTTATATACAAATAAATTAAAATTATTATTTAAAAAATAATACAAAATTTTAAGGATCTTTTATGAACTGAAAAATGTACAATATAGAATATTTATATAATATATTGTATATGTATTAGAGTAATCTAATTTACTATAATGGTTTACTGTATAGTTAAGTAAAAAATAAAATTATAAATTTTTTTAAGAGAAGAGGATGTTTTTGGGAAAACTTCAACAATTTCAAAAGTTTTAGTTAGGGAATTATATACATAAACAATGGGGGAATGTTCAAAAATCAAGTGATTTATACATAAATATATTATTATTTAACTTAAAACTATTAAAGTATTGAATAAATTTGTGATTAATAAACCTCAATATTTATTAGTTATTGATTTAAATAAATCCATTTATATTAAACTTAAACTAATAAAATTACCTATAAACAATTATTTTGAAGCTGCAATTAATTTTGGTATTTATATTTTTTTAAGGTTTTATAAAACATAATAGTATATCATGTAACAAATTAATGCAATAATAATAAATTATACCTGCGACGGTTTGGCATGCTATACAGTACCACTCTTGATCACATTTAAGAGAACTGCATAATCTGTGTGTTCCATTTGAACCACATGTATGGCATAATATTATTTCCCATGACCCGCTGTTTAAAAAATTAAAAAAATGTATTAATGTCAAATTAATAAATATTTGTTTGTATTTATTTTAATTATATAAGTATTCTTTTTTCAGATTAAGTTCATCAATACTAGAATAAAAAGTTTGTTAAGTCTAAACATCTAAAATCATCTAATAAAAGAATCTTACCAACAATTATTTTGCTAATAGTTATTTAAGAAAAATATCTAAAAATAAATTATTTTCAATGTTTTATGGTGTATAATTTACAATGCAATGAGCCAACGACTACTTTCAATTTTGTGTAATATATAATTTTTTGTAATTAACAAGTTTATATAAATAGCTTATAGAGTATATATTTTCTAATAAAATAAATCTAATTTAACAGTTAAGGTGTTGAAAATACTAATAAATTATTAAAACTGCACATTATATTTTAACATGGGGGTAAAAAAAAAAAATTGTTGCTTGCTGAACACAAAATTACAAGCATACTACTTATTTTAATATTAATAAATATAATAATGTAATATATTTGATATTTCAATACTACAGATTAATCTTTTTTTTCAAAAACTTCACTTTTAATAACTTGTATTTTTTAAGAGGACGCCATATCCGCATGTGTTATCTTCATCTTACAACTACGTAATATAGCAAATTTATGTTCAGTAGATCATGTTTAACTCCGTTAGTTTAAAAATTAGAGTGAATCAACCTATTATCAAAATTGATGATAAGAACATTATCTGTATTGATATGATGGTTTTTTTTTTTACAATTATTCAGTTTATAAGTGAGTTATGAGCATTTTTAATTTATGCTGCATTATATACACATGACTTGATAAAAAATTGAACAATTGTAAAAAACCAACATATGAACACAGATAATGTTCTTACCTTTAAGTTTTACAATAGATTGACTCATTCTAATTCTTAAACTATTGGAGTTAAACGTGATCTGTTGAACATAAATTTGTTATGTTACGAACTTGTAAGATGAAGATAACACATGTGAGTATGGCATTCTCTTAATAATAGTGAGCTTTTTACATAACTACTAAAAAATTGTATCTCAAGGATTCCAACTAGTAAGTATAGATTTTTCGTTTCAAAAACCATAGTTTTGCTAGATGATATTAAATAATAAAAATAATTTCCCACATTAATTAAATACTTAAATTTTTCAGCATCTAAATTTGAGGACAAACCAAACTTTTAAACATCCATTCACTGGAAGCATTCCAGTCGATTAGTTTACGAGTAATTACTAGATATCAATGGTAAATCACCTATTAAAACCTACACAACAATTAGATATCATAACACCTAAAATCTAACTCATCAGTATTATAACAAATTCTACAGTAAGTTAACAAAGAATAAAAATCCTATCATCTTCGAAATGTTCTCTAACTATTCCAGGAAATTCCACCAAAAGATTAAAAATAAATTGACCTAGAGTTTCTAAACCATTAAAAAAAAGTTAAATGTTCTACATCAGCAACGCAATATACAATTAATATTAAATTTGATAACAATGGATTAAAACTTAATGTGAAATGGAAATCGGTTAATGATTATTGATTGATTAAAATTTGATTGATATTGATGGTTAGAAATATACATAGATTCTATTCTTTTATAATATATTCTTAATTTGATAAAACAAAAGTTAAAAATATTATAATAACCTTATTTTGAGTTTAAATTTCCATAAATATGTCAATTTTGCAAACATTGTGCACAAATACTGATTATATAAATAAATTAATTATATTCACAACTGCCCCTAAGCAAAAGTTTTGATAATTTTAATTTACTAAGTTACTTGAATATTTTTATTATTAAAAAACAAACTACTTACGATTCATGTTGATATTTTCGTTTATCTTGATGAGGACAAAGACAGGTTTCAGCATTACACATACTATGCCGTTCCAAGAGCTCTGCAAAAGCATTGGGCACAGTTTCCCAAGAGGCGTCCCTGTGATTTAATTTTTTCAGGTAACTGTATATAGTATAAACATTATTTAAAGCGTACCATGGTACGCTAATTTATATGATACATAATCTAAATATCCTCATGTTATTAGTTATCTAGACTCAATGGCATAGAAAGGATATAGCAAATTGTACCAGTACCAAAAAAAGGGCACTAAATTATGCTTCAAAAATGATATTTTTTATTTCCATTGTTGTTAAATACATGTTCGAACATTTACAAACACAAAACTATTTTTCATAATTTTCCTATCATAAAACATTTTTAAAACCATTTATTATAAATAACCAAACTTCAAAAGCAATAATTTGTTGTATAAACTTGTCATAGGACATACTAATGATATATTTTTTCCAAAAAGAAGAAACTAAATTATTATTATTTTTTAATAGATATTTAAAGTCCTAATTTTGATAAGATAATATTATTTAAGGGAGCATATAACAACTTCAAATATTATTATATTTTATACATAGGATATTTTTAAATGCAATGGTTTTAGCAAAAATCATTTCAAACGACTATATTACTAATAGTAAAATAACATTACTTAATAGTAATTTAAAGTAAAACATATGAAATATATTTTGTGACATATTCTGATAGACAATCTTCACTCAAAATCATTTATTGTACACCATGATATATTACTGAATTCAAATTTAACATATCCATTACATAAAACAAAGCAGTACCTACTTTGTCGCTGTTTTAATTGTTTAAAAGGCACTTTTTCAAGTCTACCAGGAATGCTAGTGAGTTTTCCTACACCAATGTTAAGACCATTTATAATACATTTATAGAAAAATCATTCAAAACAAGTATTTAATTAAAGTTTTAGTAAAATTTCAAAAAATATTTTACCAATGAAGAATATTTATTCATGCAAGGAAATTTGTATGTTACCTACTACAATTATTATTTTAGTAATTTTTTTTTTTTTTTTTAGAATGACATTATTTTTTATTTTAGATGTTGAAACAAAATACTTTTGAATATTTATGCATGAATTTTATCTATGCATTACATACAATTTTATTAATTCAATTATTTTTACCATTATGAAAACAAAATATTTTATTGGAAATGATTTAGTTTGAAAAGAGAATTTCAAATACTTTTTATATATTACTCACACTAATATATTTTTATATATGCATGTTAAACTATAATAATTATGATAAATAAAAATGTATTTACCTTGATGGTATATATATTCCAAGAGTTAGCATTCTACATTTGAAATTTTCAACATTATTGCATAATGGGCATTTAAAGAAATAGCCTGCACTTAATGCTAGATCTTGAATACACCCTCGGTGAAACCAAGCGTTGCGTTTACAACATGGTGCCCAAATAGAATTATGTAAAGGAGCTGCTGTAACATCATCCTTACAAATAGCACATTGTACTGAAGCAGTATTTTGTAACTCTGATAAATCAACAACTTGTGTAACACGATGCTGTTGGCAAAATGATCTAAAGATATTTGTTTCAATGAGTAAGGTATTTGAAATAGGTTAACATTTATAAAATAAATTATGTACTTAAATGACTGATAATATTGATGCATAGACCCATTTTTCAATCCACAAGGAAGATGAAACACTCTTCGACATTTTGATCCACAACATGATATAGTTGCACCCTTTTTCTTACAGTAAACACAAGTCTAAAAATATAATTAAAAAGTAACTGTATAAATGCTGCATAATATAAAGGTATATACTTCTCTAGATCCCCGGGTAAGTTCAGCTTTAATATCTTTTAATAAAAATCCCCAAATCCCCTCTTTATCAGCACCATTTTGAACGGCCCTTGACGACAATAACTGAAAATGGTTATAATATAGTTCGATTCTGCTAATAATATATTAATATAAAAATAAATCTATTTACAATACAAAAATAATGAACAATAACATCATTGAGCTGATAAAGCAGGCCATATAATTTTTCACTGATTTCTTTTTGGCCACAAAACATACATGCTTTATTATGACTAACACTCAGCTCTACTAACACATTTTTTGGTATGGGATGACGAGCCGTTGGTCTACGTGCCACTCCATTACCTGTAGAAAATGATAATATTTCATTAACTTGCAATTTTAAAAATAAATAATTATAATTCTATTGATATGATTTTGTTGATTTATCAATATAAAAGAATAATTTTTTGTTTATAACCTAGCAAATGTAGAGAGTTAAAGACAAGAACATTCCAAATTCGAGGGCACCTACTGAAAATACAAACCCGGAAAAAGTAGAAGCTGGTTACTCACTTCTTCTAGTAGTTGGCGCCATAAGGATATAAATATTTGAGCACTCCTCCTGGTTACCTATTCGTCACCACGTCCAGCGATTCTGATCAGTCAATAGCAGTTAACAAGACGACGATCTTATGCTGATCTTACAGTAATTGGTTCGAATTCGAACTACCAAACTACTCCGCCACTATCAAATGGCTAAGGGACGATGCGACGTTAAGTTATTTGATAATGAGCGACGTACCGTGTCCACCGCCTTTTATAAAGCGCGGCGGGCACTCGGCACTGAATAGTGAAATGCGCTTAAAAAAGTTTTTATCGTGAGACATATACCAAAAGCAATCCGTCATATGACCCAGACCAGTAATGGTGGGCAATACGGATAGTCGACAGGACGCCGAAATGCGATTGTTTCGGCCGTTTTGAGCTACCTATCGGTAAACAGTCAGTGATGATATGTTTAATGCTACTAGCAGCTAACCGTAGAATACCATGGTCAAAGTGGGAGGATGGTTTTAAACAATCAGCGACGGGTTAGGTTTAGGCTCTACAGTGTAGCCACGTTCCCTGCGCGAACCTGTCCCAGTTGATGCATCGTGCATTCATGCACCTCTTCTGATAGCAGTCAGTAAAAAATATTTACTCGACGTTTTAAGGGGCAATATTGGGGTCGTTATAAATACAGTCGATTACGGCACCGAGGTGTTATCATTTTTTTTTATCAGTGTTATCACATAATCTAATAGTATCACCCATATTAAATATTATAATATTATATTTATATATTCAATTATAATTTGGTAATTAACTCAATAAAGTATAATAATAATTATTAATTAATAAGTATAAAAATCAATTAAGTATAATAATAATAATGCTATTGGTCGTCAATTTTTAAAATAAATCAATAAATCAATCAAGTAATTTTTTAGGTATAAAATTAAAAATCATAATAATAAATACAAATTAGGACAATATTACGTCAAGTTAGTCTTTTGTTTTAGGTTTTAGGTTTAGCAATTCTCGACATTGAGCTGGTATATTTGAAATATTTTCATTAGCATTGGAGCTTGGATTAACGGAACTAGTGGCATTTTCATTGATATTGGAACTGTATTCAATTACTAATAATACAGATCATGAAATTCAAAACAATGTTACAGGTTTAAATGAAAACAATGAAAATGCCATTACTCGTGTTCATCCAAGTTCCAATATCAATGAAAATGCCACTAGTTCCGTTAATCCAAGCTCCAATGCTAATGAAAATATTTCAATATACAGCTCAATGTCGAGAATTGCTTAGAAAATGATTGACTTAACATACATCTTAACGAAAACAATTCCAGAATGTCAAAAGAACTAAATACTTTAAATAATGTACATAGTAAAATGAGTGAAATGGTTACAAAGAAAATGGTTTAACACTGCTACCAACAAAACGTAGTTCAACAGTGTTATTGGATTTACCGAGAAACCATAAAACCTAAAACAAAGACTAACTTGACGTAATATTGTCTAATTTGTATTTATTATTATGATTTTAATTTTATACCTAAAAATTGCTTGATTGATTTATTGATTTATTTTAAAATTGACGACCAATAGCATTATTATTATTATACTTGATTGATTTTATACTTATTAATTAATAATTATTATACTTTAGTAGTTTTACCAATTATAATTGAATATAAAATTAATATTATAATATTATAATATGGGTGATACTGATTATGTGATACAGTAAAAATATATGACCTCGGTGCCGTAATCACTATTTATAACGACCGCAATATGGGATTTATTCATAATACATATATTATTCTTTTACGTATTACTTTGCTGACTAATGAAGCTTAGTGCGAAAGAAGAAGATAAGAA